ACCATCCAGAGCCAAGCTCAAGTACTCCTAAGCAGGCCATGAATCCATGCTCCTGGTCCAACGTCCCCGCCCTTCCCAGGTTCCTTAAACCCATGGCCACTCCAGCCTCTGGCTCATTCTCCACATTCTCCTTACCTTCCCCAAGGCTCATCCTACCTTGAGCTCATTGGCTTCGATGTAGCCACTTCTGTCGGTGTCGTACTTCCGCCAGGCCTGCAAGGGGAATGTCAGCCTGTTCATAAGGAGGTATCAAACCTACATGCCTCCTTCCATTTCTCCTTAATGGACCAGGCAGGATCTTATTGAAGGAGTAGAATGGGGACATAGGGATGGTCTAGCCCAGTTACAAAGGAGGAAACGAGGGGAGGTGTCTGAGTCAAGGTCACACAGAGAAGGAGAAAACTGCTTGAACAAGATCACCCTACTCTAACTCGATGCAGGACCGGGTCCTTTTTTGGATCAACTTGTAACTGGTGTTGATGTTTTCTAAGGTGTTAAACCAAGTGGCTTCTACCAGGTCTAGAATGGGGATCTAGTGGATCTTATTTTTGTTCTGGGCACGTGGGTATCTTTTTTCTGCTCTGAAAGCTTCCCATACCAGGTGGGGGCTGGGGGAAGAGCCCCCTGATTAGAAAAGGAACGGGCTTAGGTTACTCTTCACTGTGCCCCCTCCTCAATCCCACACGGCAGCCATATCTGATGGTGAAGCAGAATTCATAATCAGTTTCTTTTCTTTTTTGATTAAAAACATCCTTTTAAAATAGGAAACCCCCTGTCAATCCATATGGTACAGGGAGGTTGACCCCATGTCCACAAGTGGGCATGTGACAAATGCCTGTCCAGTCAGATGCCTCCCTGGATGGATCCCATCCCACCCTGATTGTGGGTTCTGAGCTGAGTCTCAGTTTGGTGTAGTCTTCAGAGAGGAAGCAGTGACATGGGTTTGACTGCCTCTCTGTTCTGTCCACCGGAGCAGGAACAGACATTACGCAGGAGACACAAACACAGTAGCCATGGTCTTAAGATATTCACAAATTCTTTCCCTCCCTTCCAAAGGTAGAACCTGGTTCTCCTTCCTCGGCCGTAGACTGGATTGAGTGACTCACCTCTCATGAATAGAATATGGCAGATAAGAGAGTGTGTGACTTCTGGGACTAGGTCATAAAAGGTAGGTATGACGGCTTCCTTCTCTCACTCTCTTGGGTCACTTGCTCTGGAGGAAGCCAGCGGCAGTGTCATGAGGCTATTCAGCACTATAGAAAGGCCCAAGTAGTAAGTAACCAAGCCTTCCTGCCAACGGTCCTGCGAGGGAGCCGCTGTGGAGATGTCGTATTTCCTAATCCCAGTCAAGTCTTCAGGGGACCTCAGCACGGCTGACATCCTGACCAGCAGTTTGTGAGAGAATCTGGGCCAGAGCCACCCAGCTAAGTTGTCCCTAAATTTCCCAACATAGAAACTGTGAGATAATAAATGCTTATTTAAGGGTGCTTTGGGGGATCATTTGTTATGCAGCAATAGCTGACTAACACAATATCCTAGGAAAGTCTGGTCCCATATGCACATGCACTGAGACCCCAGCCTTTTACCGAAGTCCTCTGGTGGAGAAGAGTGAATGTCTTGAGGTGGAGGTTCAGGGCAGAAGGTGCTACCCATGTCTGGCCAAGAGGCCCAGAGAGCTCTGTTCCCCTAAATCTTGGGATTATTTTGGTGTCTTGGATTTCTTATTTCTTAGATTCTCTCTCAAGTTTTGTTCTCTTGACATTTCTTCTCTCTATCCCCTCTTGGCTCCAAAGTGCACACCTGGACACTGGCTAGATTTGGTTTTCTGACAGCCATCAAGCACCAATCCTGTTTCCTGAATTTTATCTCTGGCTTCCCCGACTTCTCCACACACCCTCCCTGTATTGACAGGAGTGTTAGAGTTTATGGATAATTTAAAGTCTTCCTTTTACATCACACAAGACGGTGTGATTTTCATGGTGCATCAGCGCCAGGGCTCAGGAAATTTGGTCCCAGTTTTTCAAAGCTAGGAGACAGGAGCAAATTCCAGCAAAAGAGTCGATGTGCTGTAGACAACTTTGGTAGATGGTACTTGATTAGGCAAATGTTTTTTTCTCTGAAGAAAAAAATACCTCGGGTTCCACCAAAACATGCCTTCCTGTGCCCAGAAAACCCACCCTCGGAAAGGCACTAAGAGATGTGTGCAGGCTTCCAAGTATGACTTCACCAACCACCTGCAGGTATTTAGAGCGTTAGAATTTAGCTCCTTAGTGAAGTCTTGACTGAGAAATGAAGCAGACAAACTCCAAGATACTGAAAAGGCAGGTGACCTGCGGGGACCCCAATCCTCCAGAGAACAGAGCATCCCCAGACTGCTTTTCTGACTGATCCTGTCAGCTGGCTGTAGGCTCTCACTCTTGACTTCTCTTCCCTGCCAGCGCCTGGTGCCCATCCATCAGGGTGTCCTTATTCTCTTCTCATTCAAGGAAAAGAGTTCAAGAGACCCGGGCTTTGTGAAATCTCAAAGAAGTCCTGAGGTGTCCCTAAAATTAGAAGTCAAAATGTGGTGCTGAGCAGCGGGTCAGGAGCCGAGAGCACAAGGCTTTTGGGGCTCTGCAAGGACCATTTCCTATTTCTGGCTGATAAAAACAGAAAGAACGGATACCCCAGAAGGGATTGGTACTGCAGGAAGGTGGGGTCCCAGGAGGTGTGGCGGTGGAGGGTGCTTGTTCTACAGTTATGCTGGGGCTTAGAAGAATAAAAGTGTGTAAGAATATGGAATCATGCCAACCGTGCAGAGATAAAATGTTAATAATTTTGAGGAGGTGGGGGAGAGAGGCTTTTTGTGCCTCTAAAAGCATCTCTGCTTCCTGAAAGCTAACCTCATCCCTATCCGGACCAGAGATGAAGGAGAGGCCAATTTTTATCCACTTCTGTCCAGGGAAAGGAGGGGTCAGACACAGTAGTCCCTTCTCTGTGGACAGAAAAATGGACACTCATAAAAACAGGATTCCCCCCCCATTAGAGGAATAAGCTGTACTTATCTCCCCCAAAGTCAAAAGAACAACCAAGACAGAATCCAGAATGTCAATTACCAGCTTATGGGATCTTTCCATCTCAGAAAAACTGGAGAGAATCCTTTAAAGCACCATAAAATTAAATCCATATCTGATGCTTAGGCAAACTGCTCTTAAAAATGACTCTTCCGCCTTGAGAATTGGTTCTTTCTCACCGACTTTGTATCCTTGCGGGGAGGTCGCTGCTGTGTGGGTTTCTGGGCTGGCTCTGCTGTTGTTCTCAGCAGTAAATCAGGGGGAAGGGATTCCTCGTGACTGGGAATGGATTTTACCTAGTGAATGGCAACTCTGAGTCTCGCTGAAGATGGTCGTTAAGTATCAGAACACATAGTTTCCATTGTGGGAACAGGTTGGATTTCACTCTGAGAGACATCTGTTATGAATGGCTTGGGTGCGAAGTCCCAGAAAAATGGTAAAAAATAATTGGTAATTGGCTGGATATCAGGATTAGTAATTTGGATTGAACCATCCAGAACTTCCAGTTTTTACATGTCAAAGAGCAGTTCAATATCAGCAGTTTTATGTGGTTCCATCTATCCTTGAATGTTATTCAAAAGACATTTGAGTTTTGTGTGCAATTCTTATTGCAAAGGGGCAATGCTCATTTTTAAGGGGGATGCTGGAGCCCAGACCACAGTCAAAGATCAAATCCAGAAGGCACTGGAATCTGGCGTTCTCACTGGGGGTTTCCAGCTTTAGACCGGCACATAAGTCTATCCTTCCCAAACCTTGGAACTCTGACTTCCACTCTGACTAACAGGAAGGGTAGTGGTGGTAGGATGAGCTGGAGCCCGGCTGAATGAAACAAGAGTCTTCACTGCAGTCTGATGTCATTTGCAAATGCCACCGTACATCCCCAAAGGGGAGATGCAGGTACATGGCATGCCCCAGTTGTCTTTGACCCAAACTTTTCATCTTGATCCCCACACTTTAGCAGGCACACACCACCTGGGGATCTTGTTCAAAGGTCAGCTCTGATTCAGCGGCCGCAGGGAGTCTGCCTTTGTGACCAGCACCTAGGTGGTACTAATGCTGCCGGGCCAGGCCATGGGCCACACCCTGAGGGGCAGAGTTCTAAGGGGTTTAGCAACTCCCAGGGACCCTTCGTGGGCATGAATGTGGGCCTGGCTTTGAACACAGGAGGAAGGCTGGTTCCAATACCCGGAGAGAAAGTCTCACCTCCATAAACTCAGCGCTGGAGCCCACGTGCTGTCTGAAGCACAGGAGGAAATTCTCTTCGGTTGGCAGGATCTGCGCCAGCTGGAGACACACAGAGCGACACCAACATTAAGGGGGGACCTCAGGAGGGAAGCAGAGTTTCCATAGGAAGGATGGAAGGGGCCAGCGGAGGGGCAGTGTGGAGGCCACATTTCTACTGGCTGCCCTTCAGAGGGGAAGAAGATTATTCTGAGAAGAGCTTCTGGGTTACTGCAATCCTTAAGATAGGAACAACGGGACAGACAGACAGACAGTGACACTCCTTTAACATGCAAGCACCCAGAGCCGGGCAGTTTGGTGGTTGCCTGGGGTGAGATGGCCTGCTTCAGGTAGGAGGAACATCTGTGGGTGACAGGATGACTGCATCTTGATCCACTGCGATGGTGATCTCATGGTCTAAAATCTAAACTCAAGAATTTTGACACTCTAAATGGATGCAGTTTATTGTATGTAAAATAATACCTCAACAATTTGATTCTCAAAAATCATAAATACGTTCATGCAGTAAACACTGCCAGCTGCCCACCAACTGGCCTTCCCGCCCCCCCTGCTCCCAGCCTCCTCTGGACACTAGCAAATCATCTAAGTCAGATAAATGTGATAATTCCACTCCCTCTGCCTGTGATTGGCTTACGGATAGGCCTGTGACCCAGTTCTGGCCAATAAAATGTGAGAGGAGGACTGCTGAGGGGACTGGGAAAGGTTTCTTTGCACCCACGAGGGGCCCTTTCTGCTGGACGTGGTGGGATCTGGGTGTGGTACCTGGATCTGCTGCAGCCATCTTGCTGCCAGTTGAGGAGGAAGGTGTTTTGGAGGCAGACAACTGCAGGGAAGCAGAGCTGCAGCCCTGGCCTCCGTTTCAGAGCACCAACCCTGCCCATGACCTTTGTCGTTAGGAGCTTTTCTTGGTTGCTTTTCGGCTGTGGTAGAGTTGGAGAGTTTTGGACAAAGGCTGCACGGACCATAAACCCTAAAGCATTTACAATCATTTGTATTTTTTACAAAGTCTGCTGATCCCGGTTTAAGCCCTTGTGACTGAGGATTTTCTGACTGCAGCACAGACGTCCACAGCAGCTGTTCTGGTGCCCCTCCTGGTGCGTCAGGAAAGGGCAGCGAGGGGGCTAAGTGGGCAGGTGGTGTCTGCCAGAGCCCAGCCTCAGCCTACCTCATGCTCCTCTCTAGGCTGCAGCACCATCCCTCGGCAGCCCTGAAATTGGCTAGCTCACTGCTCCTAGCTGCCCCCTGCATGAGAGCAGCCCTCAGACATACCAGAGCTGCCCACCCAGGGAGGTTCCTGGGCTCCCCATTCCCCACAAAGGGGCAGCTTGCTTCCAAGGACTGACCAACATGGTGGCCTCCAGGTGGGACCAACTCTGTGGCACAATCCACACCCTAGAGCTCCCCATGAGGTAGCAAGGTTGGCTCTGGCAGGCACCACTTGCCCACTTAGCCGCCTCTCTGTCCTTTCCTGACACCCTTTCTTCCCTTCTCTTAAAAGAGTTCTTCTGCAAAGAATCACATCCACTTGAACTGGTGTCCCAGACTTGGCTTCTAGGACACCGGGCTCTAGAGCAGCACCTGAAACAATTTACCTGGGGGGAGCTGTGCCCTCATTCACATACCATCATCTGACCCAGCCTTGACCATGAACGGCACACTGATCACTGAGTATGTGACAGACATGTTTGTATATAAGCAGATGTATGTATATGAATGTATGCATGGGTGAATGAACACATGTAAGTATACAAACTATGCATAGTATATAAATTATGCTTATATGTGTAATTTATATATGTGTGAATTATGTATCTATATAAATCTTTCACAGTTGTGCCTTTGGATGCCTTGAGGTGGGTGGGGCATGAGCTCTCCTGTCCACCTGTCTTCCTCTCCCGACTCTCTTTAGTTGTGCTTGTCCTAATTTGTGCATTGACCCTGAGGGCCCAGGTCCCATCACACGTGGGCTGGGCCTGGAGAATGGGTAGAGTCTCCTCTTTCCCTGGGTGGAAAATGTGTAAAGGGCGTCAGCTTCGGTTTGTCTGAGGGCTGCTCTCCTGCAGGGGGCAGCTACCCTTGTTGTCTTTGGTCAGCCCCAAGCGCTGAGGGTGGATATCCTTAGGGCCTCATTGGTGGATATTGTTCTTCCCTCATTTGGCTGCCTGGCAGGAGGCATGTGACCAGGAGAGGCACAGGGGTCAGACAGCCCTTCCACACAGTCCTTCGCTGGGACCTTGCACTCACCTCTGCCATCTCGATTTTCCCATCCGAGTTCTTGTCATATTTCTGCATAAACTCCTTCATCTTCTCCCCAAAGTTGTCACTCTTTGACATCTGTGGAAAGAGCAAGGGCTGATTTTGCCGCCACCTCACATGGGAGCTGCGAATCTCAGTGCAGCAGTGTCGGTAGTCATCCTGGGTCCTGACGGGCACAGAGCTGGTACAGCCAGCGCTCTGAGGGATCTGGGCCGTGACCTTTTCCTTGTCACGATCCCTCCCAATCAAGTCGTTTCTTATTCAAGTCTCAGTCTCATAATTTTCAAAGTGGGACAGCACATGCTCTGTACCAGGTTATTCAATGTGCCTCGCTGCCTTCAAAATGGATTCAACCACAACTCCATCAGAAGGGTTTAGACGTTTTCCATTAGTCAGATGGGAGAACTGAGGCCCCAACATTTTAAAATTTTCTTTCCCTGCATTTTTATTGGCGCATCATAGTTGTGCATAATGGTGGGATTTGTTGTTTGTACATGCACAAGATAGAACACTTATCACTAGCCAATATCACTCCCCAGCACTTCCCTCTCCCTTCCCTCCTCTCAAACTCTGGTCCCTTTCCCTATAGTCTACTGATCTCCATTTGATTTTCATGAGATGCTCCCTAAACCTTTCTTTTCCTTTTTCCTCTCCAGCTTCTGCATATGAGAGAAAACATATGATACGACTCTTGACCTTCTGAGTTTGGCTTTTTTTCTTACCATAATGGTCATAGGTTCCATCCATTTCCTGCAAATTACATAATTTCATTTTTGTTTATGACTGAATAAAACTTCATTGTGTGTGTGTGTGTGTGTGTGTGTGTGTGTGTGTGTGAGTGTGTGTGACATTTACTTCATCTACTCATCCATTGATGGACACAGAGGCTGGTTCCAGATTTGACTATTGTGAATTGTGCTGCTATAAATAAAGGTATGCACTTATCACTGTAGTAAGATGACTTGAGTTTTTAAGGATAAATACCAAGGAGTGCTATGGCTGGGTCATATGGTGGTTCCATGCCTAGCCTTTTGAGGAACCTCCGTGCTGATTTCCATAGTGGTTGTACCAATTTATAATCTCACCAACAGGTGTAAAAGTGTTTCTTTTCCTCTACATCTTCTCCAGCATTTATTATCACTTGTATTCTCGATGGTTTGCCATTATGACTAGTATGACATGAAATCCAAGCGTACTTTTGATTTGCATTTCCCTAATTGCTAATGTTGTTGAACATATTTTCATATATTTTTGGAGGCTCCAACATTTTACCGAGACAGGTTGTAATAGAACCTAAGTTAATCCAGTGCCCCACCACCAAATATTTCATTGTTCATTTCTCTCTTTGAAGACTAACTAGCAATTCCACAATATTTCTTACTCTGGTTTTATGCTAGGAGGAATATGAGATGTCATTACATGGTGAGGGACAATTTAAATAGTGCACTCAATTAATCTGACTGAAGAAAAACAACTTAAGTTCCTTTAGTCCATTACTTTCTGTCTTTAATGTAAGGCTATCCTGGGCTGGGTTTGTGGCTCAGTGGTAGAGTGCTCACCTAGCATGTGTGAGGCACTGGGTTCGATTCTCAGCACTGCATATAAATAAATAAAATAAAGATCCATCAACAGCTAAAGAAAAATATTTTTAAAAAATGTAAGACTGTCCTGAAGCTTTTATATCTTCCCCTAGTTTGGGATGCTGTGGATTATTTGCACCAAAGAGATCTTCCTCATCCCTATCAGTAATGAATCCACAGTGGGCACCTGATGCCTTTGCTTCACTTATCTGTTGATTTCCTGGGTTTTCACGATTCCTAGTGAAATTCTACCCATCCCAAGGACCTTTTCTAAATCCCTTCTACCACCTTTACCTTTGGAACTAGTCTCAATTTGCCAATCTTTATGTGTTGGCCAATATTTATTTATTTATTTATATTTATACCTGTGCGTGGTGTGATGTCATGTATTTATCACAAATGTGGTCAAACCTTTTGAGTTTTACCATGGCCCCTTTGAGGTTAGTGGACTCTCCCTCTTAGACTCTAAGAAATGACTTCTCTCAAGGTCAACCAGTTGAGGATAGCCAGAATTTGAACTCATGACTCCTGCTTCCAGGACTGATCGTCTTCCTACCATTTAACAAATTGTTCTGAGACTCAGTCATGGGTGACAGCAATCGGGATTGTTGTTGGCAGACTTGAAAATCACCCTGATGCCATCTGAGGAAGGGAATGACTAAGAGAAGAATTTCAGATTTGAAACGTTCCATTAAAACACATTCCTCTGCCTAATCCATGATCCTGGTGTCAGTTTTGAAGCCCTGAGTTCTGTAATCCAAGCTTCATTATTGTAGTAAGGAGGGTCGATGAGACAACTTTTGATAAACCAGCCCATGAGTCATCTCCCACCCTGTAAGCCCAGGCTTGCTCTTCTCACTGGGGTGCTCTGCTCATCTTTGAACCAGGAGCTCCTGGGTGATTGTGACTCATCTGTGAACTGCTTCCCAAAGAGTCGTGAACAAGCAGTGGGTAGGGCAGCAGAGAGAGGAGGGAGACCCTCAAAAGACCTGAAGGAGCTGGTGGGAGGGAGTGGGCTCCATCTTTCCAGAACCAGTCATGGGAGTCACAAGAGCCTGATTCCAATCACCTCAACCTTCACACAGACATGACCTTCCTTTGACTAAAGGGGCCTGGCTGTGAGCTGGAGTCTCTGAGTTCAGGCTCAGAAGTTCAAGACACCTCCATGCACAAGGCTGGCCAGAACTGCTTCAGAACAATCCTCCATTTCCTCCAGCTCCATGCTGAGGATCCCAGCCTCTGTTGGTCTGCAAGGGTGGTTCTCTACTGAGAACCTTTCTGTCCCCACCTAGGGGAATTCGAAGGAGGGTGCCACTGGCATCCCCTGGGTAGAACTAGGCATACTGCTGGACATCCCACAACACATAGGACAGCCCTGCAACAAAACTAGCCTCAAATATCAATAGTGCTGAGACTAGAAACTGATCTAGAATGCAGACACTGAAGACCCTTGAGCATCCAGTCTCAAGACCTTACCCCTCTGAAGCATCTTAGGGAGGCTGTGGACTCTGACCCTAGGAAAAAATACTTTATGCATACACAGAAATACAGCTATGTAGTTTTGGGGGGAATATTGACCCGGGGTTAATTATGTCACCTCTCAATCCCAGACATCCAAGATATGAAGATAAGGTGCTCTTAGGGAATGTTCTAATAATTTTTCTTTTTATCCTTACGGATAAAAGAAATACTGGAAGCGTCAAGGCCAGATGCCCCAGGAGCAGACCATGCTCAAGGCCACATGGGTCAGGGCATAGACAACCTGAAATGATGGGAAAGGGGCTGGGCTTACCATGCCAGAGCCTTTTCTGGCCTTCTCCAACTCTTGGAAAAAGTTTTCTAGCTCTTTACCTTCAATATATCCATTTCCTGTAAAGACAGAAAAAAGAAAAAAATAATAAGTGCCTTCAGCTAAATAGTAAGACTAAAGGGGGGGTGTTGGTATAGCAGGAGTGCGGCAGGAAAGCGGGGGGATTCCTGTAGAACTTCTCCCCACCAATCCCCCAACAGGGGTCTTAGCCAGCAGTGTGAGGGATATGGGTTCTGCCCTCAGGGCATTTCCATGCAGAGATTGACAGGGGTCCTTGGGATATTCAGCCAGAGAACACTAGGGAAACTAGCATCTGACCCAAGCTGGCAGAAGTGGATGGAAGCTGGGAGCTGCCACCTCAGTCCATGACCTTCAGGGAAAGCACCAGGGGGCTCAGTGGGAGTCAGTCATCTGCATCAGGGTTTGTTAGCAGGTGGAGGGCTCTGGTGGGAGGCAGAAGTCAGGTCCCAGGGATTGGAAACGTATACAGAGTTGAAGGGTGTTCTCCCAGAATCCACCTTTACCTGGAATCTCAGAATGTGATTTTATTGGAAAGTAGGCTCTTTGCAGATGTCATTAGTTATCATGAGACCAAGCTGGGCTAGGGTGGGCTCTAAGGCCAGCAACTGGCATCCTTATAAGAAGGCCAAGTGAAGACACACAGACACAGGGAAGAGGGTCATGTGACAATGGAGGCAGAGATTGAAATTCTGCATCTACAAGTCAAGAAAAGCAGCAGATCACCAACAAATCAGAGGCTGGGAGAGAGACTTGCAACGGCCCTCCCTCAGGGTGTCTAGCAGGAACTAGCCCTGCAGACACACACATCAGTTTCAGACCTCCAGCCTCCAGAACTGTGAGAGGACACATTTCCGTGGTGTAGGTCATCTAGTTTGTGGTCCTTTTTATGACAGTCCTCAGAAACGGATACAGAAGGACACGGTGAAAGGAAATTATTGAACCCATCTCATCTGCAGGATGGATTATTATCACGAAACGGGATTTCATATGTAAATCACACAGTCCATTATGAGTGTGCAAAAATGTTAGTATTGCTTGAATTCAATTACCAGAACCCGTGTGCAAGATGGGAATGAACCTGAGGAAGAAGCAAACTGATCAGAACCAGGCAGCAAGGTCAAAGCCTGACTTGCCAGAAGATCACAAGTGGTGAGAGGTCCTGTCGGGTCTTACACCTTGAGCCCAGATGGCCCCGGCACCAGGGGCCATGGCCATGGTTAGTGTGCTATGTTGGAGTGGACGCATTTGTGGGAGGGAAATCAGGGCTAAAACAAGCCTTCCCAGGCACTACTACTGCAGATTGGAATCTCCTGGGGATCTTTAAAAAACATGGTGTCTGACTCTCACCTCCAGACATTCTGATGTAATTGGCTTGGGATGTGAACTAAGCATTATGATTTTTTTTTTAACTCCTAGATGATTTTCATGGGCAGCAAAGTTAGGAAACCACTGGATTAAGTCAAGTTCCAAATCTGATTGAAAGCCAGTGAGCAAGGTTCCCACAGACGAGTTTCAACCTGAACAGAAAAGGGGTGGTCTATTTCTTCAAGAGAGATTGGAATTGTAGACATAACAAAAAAATAACCTAACTGAGGGCATTCATCCTGCCCTCTGGATGGGGTGGGAGGTTAGGTCCACCCTCTCCTCCTAGTGCCACCTAAGAACTTAAATTCCAAATAAATAACAGAGGCACCCTCTAGTGAAAATGCTACAGTAAACACTGTATGACATGTTACATGAGATAAATTATGCATTTTTGTCTGATTACAATGTATGGAGGGAAAGACTTGAGTCCCCTCCCAGGACTGGGTGGTCATCTTTCTTCCTCTGCAGAAATTTTTGGGAAAGTTGGAATTTCACAAAAGGGTAATAGCTTAATGGCCTATGAGGCCTGCCAGAGTTGGGGAGGGAGAAAGGAAGGGGAGGGAAAGGGGCTTTCTGAGCAAAGGGGCAGCCATCCAGTTGATGGTGTGCTGCTGCTGGGCTGGAGGAAGAAGTCACTTGGCTCCTTGGTCACTCCCTGCAGTGACCAGGCCTTTCTCCCATAGCTTTGGTGCAGCTTCCTCCGGACTGAGAGGGCCAAGTCGTGTCCTTGTTCTCCAAGGCTTTGCAGAGTCAGACAGGGAGGTAGAAAGCTGAGCTGGGCTCTGGGTCCATCTGCAGCTTCCAGAAGCCTGAGGCTGTGATGGGAGGTGCAGGGGGCTTGGAGCTGGCACCAAAAATGTGTATCCTGGTTCAATGAAGCAGAGGCTACAGGACCTGGACCCTGAGCCACGTGGGTGAGGGTGTGTCAGTTCGGGGAGTGTATCTGGAGGTGCTCTTCAGAGCCGACAAAATGGCTCATGCTTCTGGGCACGACAGCACACGCCTGTAATCTCAGAGGCTCATGAGGCTGAGACAGGAGGATCACAAGTTCAAAGCCAGCCTCAGCAACAGCAAGGCGCTGAACAAGTCAGTGAGACCCTGTCTCTAAATAAAATACAAATTTTGGGCTGGGGATGTGGCTCAGTTTTCAAGTGCCACTGAGTTCAATCCCTGGTACTGCCCCCTGCAATGTGTCATGCTGCTCTGTGGGGCTGCCCCTCCTTCTAGCTACCTCCTAACACTCGACGCTCTGCTGTTTCTCCTCCAGCCCCTTCACCTATTATGTCAGGAGTTGGCAAAGTTCCTGGGCCTTCCTGTCAAGGTTCCTTGTTCTTCTCCTACCTCTATCATACCTCAGTTTCTTTAATTATAAAATATGGCTCATATGGCTGCTGTGAAGATTCAGTGGGACCGTAATAAACAATAGCCTAAATTGCTGGCCCAAAGTGAGCCTCAAGAATGCCTGCAGCCATCGCCATGGCGGCTGGAGTCTCAGCCAGCCACTGGCTCAGGGAAGGCTTGGCCTTGGGCCGCTTGCTTCAGGCTGGGAAGATTGGCAGGGGCCGAAGGAGGCAGAGCGGGCTCCTCTGACCAATTCCAACCCCAAAGAGAAAAGTAGAAAGGCACAGACCAAGAGAAGTCACCTTCTCCTCAGGGGTTTTCTGGACCTTGTTACAACTTACAATAAGCATTTATTTTTACTCCATCTCCTTTGAAGGCTGGGAGCAGGTTCAATGACCTCAAGGAACTCCGGCAGCCAGTGCGGCAAAGTACCGCAGGACACTTCTGAATGCCCACAACCCCGGTACGGAAACAAAGTCTTTCATTTTTCAGAGCACTTTTGACTTCCTTCTTTGCTTCAAGCAGACAATGTGAGGCCTGACTATGTGTATGGCCTGTGTGGGTTGCCATGGGGACCATGGGGATGTACAGAGGTGTCCCTGACTTCACACCACAGCATCTTCCTGGCGACAGAAGAAACCGAGGCACAGAGGAGGTACGTAACTTGCTCAGGATCACACAGTGAGGCAGGACCAGAACTGGAGTGTCCTAATTCCTGCTTGGGGCTTCCTCCCTTCCTTCCTTCAATCCTTACTCAGCATCTACGGAGCATGCGTTTGTGCAGGCCGTATGCGAGGTGCTGGAAGGGCAAAGGCAAGCCAGAGTGGTCCTGCCATCCTGAAGCTTATTTCTGACCGGATGGGGTGGCAGAAAGGCCGACCCTCGGCAAGGAAAGGATTTTACACCTGGCACTTGAGAGCATGTGGAGTGCTGTGAAGGCTGGTGATGTCCCAGAGGTGACTCCCAGGCCTGCTGGGGCAGATGGGGCCAGTGCAGTCCTCTCTGAGCAGCCCCAGGCCCTGGGAAGAGGGAAGGAAAGGTGAGGAGCGAACTTAGAGGCAGGGTGAGGGGACGGGGAGTTGGGCTGGTGGCATGGCAGAAAGAAGCCCCTGTAGCAGAAGGTTCCAGATGAGCCCCTCGCTCCAAGCTGGGACTAGGCGCCTGCAGTCCCCGGTTTCCGTGTGCCCCAGCCAAGGGATGGAAATGCGGTTTGGCACAACCTTTTCTGGGACCTCTTATTGGGGGGTTGGGGTGACTGGCCACCAAGCAAATCTCACAAGGATGAGCATTGATAAAGATGTGGTTACCATAGTAACCAGCACTCCTAACCTCCTTATCAAACCGCATCAAGTGAACACGAGGGAGAGGGGGCAGGGTGGGAGCCTGGGACCCTGCGTCCTTTCTGAACCTACCTCTTGCTTCCATTCTTCACCATCACGTGCCTCAGTTTCTCCCCATCTAGAGGGGGACAACACTTCTTTACTTTGGAAAGCCTTGACTTTCCAAAGGAGGCTCCACCCTATAAGGGTTTGCTTGTTTCTCCCAGAAGTTCTTATATGCGGATTTTCTAAGAGTTGAACAGGTAAGAGGTTCCTGAGTCTAATTCTGCCACCAGCTCTGTGCCTGTCCATGTTCAGCAAGTTAATACCCCTTGTTTTCTTTATCGCTACAGTGGACATAACTGCTCCTGTCCTCTCTATAGAGTAATCATAAGAGCCACACAACAGGATGTTGTGAAAGCATTTTAGAAATTGTAAAACCTTCCTTGAACCAAAGGTGTGTGTTTATGCTGTCTCCTCTAATCGTCTTCTGAAAACCCTTCAGCCCAGAAGGTTCCAGCAGAACTGCTTTCATCAGAGTACCGGTTCTCAGCCCAGGCTGGTTCCCGGAATCACCTGGGAAGGGTTTACACCATTGCCTGCCCCTCCCCAGACCTTCTGACTTAATTGGTGGTGTGGGGTGATTCTAATGTGCAGTGAAGGTTAAGAACTTCTGTGCAGCAGCAGGCCTCACCTGTAAGGTGCTGAAAAATTATCTGGGGATCTTATTAAAATGAAGATTCTAATTTGATAATTTTAGAGTAATGCCTAAGGGCTCGCTGTTCAAGTGTGGTCTGTGGACCAGTAACATCAGAATTACTCGAGAGCCAGTTAGAGATGCAGAGCCCAAGGCCCCTCCCTATACCTTCTGAATCGGACTCCTCTTCCCCAGAGCAGTGATGTTCAGCAATCTGTTTTATTACCTGGCTCAGGTGATTCTTTAATATGCTAACATCTGAGGTATTTACAGTTCTCAAATTGTGGTCTAGACAGGCAGCATAGGGGTCACTTGA